TGGAAGGCGAAGCGGCTCTGGATGCGAGGGGTGGTGGTAGAGCAACGGTGGTGAAAGCAGCTGCCTGGAGAAATGAGGGACTTGGGTAGGAGCTGGGCGATGTCGGGTGAGCTGTGGTCAGCTCCAGCCCTTCAGGGAAATCGATGGGAACGTCAAACGTTAGCTTAGGTGTCCTGAACTGTCTGTGTGGGACTTGAACTCATCGAGAGCAAGCATGTGCCTTTTTCTGATCAAGAACAGAAGCTGGAAAAACTTGCGTTTGCATTGGTAGAATGGTCAGTATTTTTCTTGAACTGTTTTTAAAGCTTGAAGTCCTTGGTCAGAATGGAGTTGGTTTTGTGTTGAATTACTTAATCAATGTGAGCCCTGAATTATTTGTGAATTAGAACTACCCAGAGAGGAGAAGCTTTTAAAATAAGTGGTTTCTGGAGAGTAATGTCATCAAATAAACATACTTCCTGGTAGACTTGCAATTTTTTTAAATAAAATCTAACCTTGATATGTTTCTCTATCTAATGAGAATCATTAATTCTGCCTTTATTTGAATGTTGCCTGTCCAGTAATGTCTTCACTCTTTACTGTGCTCCTGCAGCTTTCCATACACTCCATTGCTTCTTCCCCCTTACCCCGTTTGGTGGCTGTAAGGACATGAAGAATGTTGTCCAGTGAATGTCGGGGAGCAGTGCAGAGGTCTGATTAAGTGGGAATGTGGAGGTGAGGATTAAACATCACAGATAATTCTTCAAGAACCAGCGTGCCAGCAGCTGAGGGTAGTGATGTCTGCGTACAAAATGGTGTGGTCTCCTGGGTATGGAAAGAGTTAGCAAAGTGGTACGAGGGGAGGAAAGATCCTCTCTGCTCTGATGCCGAGGTACTCGTTGAGGGAAGGCTTGTTGTAGACTGCCTGCTGCACAAAAGTAGATGCCTGTGTCTTAGATGCTAGTTTGGGCTTAAAGCTGCTAAAAAAAGTGGATTTTCAGACCAAAACGGAAGAGCTTTTCAAATAGGTTATATTTTATGCAATATTGAGATATTGAGGAGTTACCCAGCCAGGAGCTCTGGTGGCAAAGCTGGCTCTGAAATGGGTTCCCTCTCTGGCCTTGCGTAAATGATTCTGCCTCGTTTTCTCACCCTGTCTCGAAAATGTTTATGAAGATTCACTTCGCCTTATGAGCGCTAAGTATTAGGTGTTCTGAGGATGAACCACGCAGTGGAAGTGCTAAACTCTTGATACGAACCTGTGCACCTTCTTGCGAGCGTGCATCTTCGGTCCATACAGTGCTGTCTGGAGCCTGTCTCTGACGGGAGCTGTGCTCCTTCCTCGCATCTCGTCGCAGCTCTGCCTGGGGAATGCCATTGGGATTGGTCCCATGGTCTTTACCTGTTGCTTTCTCTTAAGATAATCCACGTGTTGCAAAACAGACTGTCAGAGGGCAAGTTCATTTACATGAAAGTTGGTGTTTTTTTTTTCCATTGCTGAGAATTATATAGGTCTTTCAAACGCATTTGGCAGTTGGAAAACTAATACCTACTGTAATACTATCTAGCAACACAGCAAAATATGACTGTATGTTGAGTTTAGGGCTATGCTAGCCCATAAATCATAGGTCCACAACCCATTTAAGTACAGGTGTGCAAAAATTAGCTATTAAAATAGTTACTAATAAACTTTCATTATGCTTACACTTGCAAATCTCTTAAATATATTCACAACCAGTTTCTTTGATAGAAAATCCGTGTCTTGCCGGTTAGTGTTCACTCAGACATAATAGCAAAGTAATACCCACTGGAGCAATGCTAAATTTAAAGAACCTTTTGAAGTTTTTGAACCTGATGGTGTGCCAGCAAAGTGGAAACTTGAGTAGTGCTCTTTAACTGCTGAGGAAAATTGATTGCCAAAAAAACTCGGTGAGAGGAAGACTGCTAGAGATGGAAGTTTGTCTTCTGACTTCTGGCAACTTTGCAGTGAAGAATGGCTTCTTCTGGGTACTCAGTTTTGTACAACACTTTCCTCCTGTGGCTATAGTTTTTTAGTTTTCTTTGGACTTGGTTTCTATTCTTCAGTGAAATGTTCTCATTTCTGCAGTTTTCAGTGTTGAATCTAGCCTTGAGACACCCTAAAGTTGTTTTCCTGTAGAAAAACCTGCTTCTAGAAAGCTGCATTTTGTGTCTGTTTTGCAGGCGGTTTCTAAAAGCTAACCTCAGCACAGCGATAGAGTTGGCAGAACGCGGTTTTGGTCTGAAATGTTGATTTTACAGGCTCGTTGCCCAGCCCCTACTGCCATGACCAGTGACGCTGGTGTACAGATCCGCGTTTCCCGGGTTAGGTGACGCGCTTTGGGCTCGCAGGGTACAGGGTCTCCTGGCTGTTCTGTTCTTGTTTCTTCCCTTGGTGTAAGCAGTTCAGCTTCCCCAGGTAGCCTGTTGGTGGATTAACAGCGTTGTGGCTTGTCGTGGGGAAAAACTAGGCTGTTTACGTGGCCTGGAGGCGTGTGATCCTAGATAAGAACACTGCCTATCAGCAGGTATTACTTTAGAGCTTTCACGGTAATTGGTAGCATTCGGTTATGAGCCAATATGGGTATTAAAGTATCTTCAGGAGAAGGTGGCTCAGGTGGCATACTGTGTGCCATAAACATTGCTAGCAATCAAGCCGTATTTGTTTAGGAGACTGCTGGAAGCAATGTCGTGCATATAAATTTTGCGTATTTAATACCGTATGTTTAAATTGAAAAACAAAAAAAAAATATTGTGCTGTTTGGGATTCCTTTTCAGAATTAAAAAAAAATCTAATAAACCAGTCCAGTGGACTGAGATTCCCTCTATGTGTATGTCTTGCTCTTTCTCATATGCTGGTAACTGCTCCCCTCTCGTTTCGGTGTTACCGTGGCTTAAGCAGGAACTGGACCGCGTTCCCACCATGCAGGTACTGGGGGTTTTCGAAGCAAAAGGGGATTGTTTCAAGAATAAAGTAGAGCTGTGACTTGAGACATTGCACAAATAGATTGTAGACGGATGGCAAACAAACTGGTAAAAGCCTTTATTTTTACTTAACCATCTTGACCATGTGTGCCTATTTGTATCGCGGACGTGGGCTGCGGGTGGGAGGGAAACCGTGTGTCGGTGTGTGTTGAGATGTACTCGCTAAGCAGAAGCGGTGTCCTCTGCCCCTTCTCCCTTTCCAGAGAAATTGTTCTTGCCAAAATTTTCTACCTGTTGCAAGAGTTGCTTTCTTTCCAGCACAGTAAAATGTCAACTTCTTTCACTGTTCCTTCCCTCTCGTAGGCATCTGTAACCTCTGTACGACTCTGTATAGTACACACAACAGTCATCGGATCTCTGCTGGCTTTAGATGCCATCCAGTTGGGTGTATTGTAAACAAACCGTATTCATTTGAAAAAATAAATTTTTTTTTGAAATGCAGTTGTGGTACTTTTATTTCTTTTTATACTTGGCAGCATTCTAGTTCCTTCCTTTAGTTCCTGCAGCCGGGGGGGCTGGAGGTGGCGGTGATGCTCTGAGGCTGGTGGCAGCTCGGGGGGGGGACACACCAGCAGGGCTGCCCCACCTTTGCTGGAAAACGATTTTACTTTTGGCCTTTTCTGTTTGATTTGATGTGATGCTATTTAAATATTTATTAAAAAAGAAAAAAAATGGGGGAAGAGCTGCTGCTGAGGTCGGTGGCATGAGGACTCCTGCGGCTGCCGAGGGGCCGTGGCGGCGGGTGGGTGTCACGGCGGTGGGTGGCACTGGGTGCGGGACCCCAGACACCCCCCTACCGGGAAAAAATTATCTTTTCTTAAAAATAATAATTAAT